TCGTTCATCTTGTTACGGCGCCGCAGCCGCAGAAAGTCGCCCCACCGCCTTCCATTCCTACCGACGCGGCTGCTGCCGCAGCGTTGGCTGAGAAGGCTACCAAGAAGAAGAAACGCAAGCGTCTTACAGGCCTTGTACCAGAGTCTTTGAAGGGATGTGTCACCAAGATCAAGGCCGGGCCCATTTGTTGGGCTTTCAACCTTGCTGAGGGGTGTTCGCTTGAGACCAAGAAAGATGCCCACGGAACAAAGTGTGCAAAGGGATATCATGTTTGTGCCGGATGCCACAAGCCTGGCCACAGCTTTCCAAACTGCCGGAAGGGAGGCTCGTGACGGGTAGGGTAGAAGCGACTCCCGCTGCCTCGAGTGAAGCTTCGCGAGCCTCGAGTGATGTGGAGTCTCTTGCCGCGTCAATTTTGCAAATGCCTGCTCCTTTCGATAAATCTTCGCTGTCGCAGCTGATTGAGCTGCTGCCAATGCAGAGCCCTCCACGGGGGAACGTTGGACGCTCCTTCGGTGCCGGGGCGTATGCAAAAGGGGGCCTGTATGGCCTTCACTCAAATACCAAGCTTTTTCCAAATGTGTGCGCTGTCTTCGCGGCGCAAATCCGGAGTTTGGCTCCGGGCGAGTGCTTTACAAGCTTTATTATTCTAGATGACTGTTCCGCCGAGGTGCATCGCGATTCCAACAACGACGACTCCTGCCGCAACATCCTGCTGAAGTTGTCGGAGTTTCAGGGAGGGGCCGTTTGGGTAGAGGGTGATGGTGACATTGAGGTGACTGATCCAAAGGGACACGTCTTGAAAGGTCACGAGTTGTCTTGGGAAAACAACAAAATCACTTTGGATGCGAGGAACTTGTATCATGCTACACTCCCCTGGACGGGGCGGCGACTAGTGCTGGTAGGATACACTGTCAGAGACTTCCAAAGACTGCCGTGTGACGATCGCCAGAGGCTGATTGATCTCGGCTTTCAGTGCCCATCGCAACCCGTGCCTTCCCCCAATAGGACCTTTGGGTTTAGTTCCCCCTTTTCGGGTGATGCTAGTGCTGACCAGCTCTACCCCCGGGGAGCCTGCCAAACTGCCTGGGGTAGGGTTTAGTCCTAGCCCAAATAAGCCCGTTGCTCCGCACGTGCGGACGCCGATCAAGCGTGATCTTCAGGAGAGGTCCAGAAGCCCGGTGAATGCCAATTCTCAGGCGAATGTGGGCCATGTCGGGGAATACCTTTTCCTTGAGGTGAATGGCCGCACTGCCGATCTGCATCGTGCTGCCCGAGCTGCAGGCATGCGACATATACTGTGCAGTGCGCCCCCAGCTTTCGTGCATGGGGTCAGGTGTCTCCCACTTGACTTGGGCAACGACTTAGAGAGCTTCCAAAAACTTGTCGAGGCCGAGAAAAAGCGACTCGCTCTTGTCTGGTGCGCCGTGCTCCTCTTGGTCTGCAAATCTTTGCACCTTAGGTGAGCTTGCCGCAGCGCCGCAAGTCTTGAAATTCCCTTTGTCATAGCGGGGTCTCCAAAATCGCAATTTTGGGATGATCCATTCATCCTTCAGCTGATTCAAAGTTTCCCTTTGCAGTTGCACCGATGTGACCTGTGTTGTCATGGTGACGGCCGCCCTCGGCCTTACCAAATGGCCACTGCACAAGGGGATTGGTCAGCCTTGGCACTCAAGTGCTCGGGCTTGCATTCACACGCACCGTGGGTGCCGCGCAAGACTGGCGACCCGCCTCCAGGTTTGCCCAGTCTTTTCTGTCAACGTGTCATCGCCAAAGCCAAAGCTGCCCTTCTCCAGTCAGGAGTTCGTGAGTTTGGCACAGTTTCTCAAACCCGAGAGTCCGATTCCACCTTCGATGGCAGGTTGGCTTTGAACGCCTTGCCGCGCGGCCGACGCAACCCTGCTTTAGTGCAAGAGTTTGTATCCTTCAAATTCGTGGCTGTGCCTGCTGACCCGCCGTCGACAGATGAATCTTTACTTGCTGGCCTGCCTAAAGGAGCTCGGGTCTTGTCTCGCCTGACCTTTGATGGGGGTTACGAAGAGGCTTGTAAGACCTTGAGCATATCCTCCAGTGAAGTTTCCATTACAGATGGCAAATCAGAACTGCTTGAAGGTGAGTTGATTAGAATTGGCCTGCCTTCTGAGCCCGAAGCCTTCGTGCAAAGAGCAGTGTAAGCCGGCCACCCTAGGGACGGAAGTGCACATGTCTCGAAGCTTGTCATAAATGCAATCAAAGCAAACTTCAGCGACCCACCGGCGCAAACTGTCACCTCTCGTGCTGCTGCTCTTAAACATTGGACTGCACGGGCCAAGCAGTTAGAGCAGAAAGAAGAGGAGTTACACTGGAGTTTGCCGGAGCACCTTCGTTCTCTGCTTGAGGGCAAACGGCTGCTCTTGTGGCAGGAAATGCACGAAGCAGCTGGATCTCCAGACGACCAGTTAATCACCCACATGTGTGAGGGATTTAAGTTGTCTGGTTGGTTATCGCAGGGAGGGCTTTTCCCTCCGAAGGTTAGGCCACCCTCCTTTTCGGTTTCCACCCTTAGTTGCTTAGCAAAAGGTCTGAATCAGTCGACGATTGCGAAAATGCGCTTCCGGCAGGATGAAGACTTGGAAAAGGCAACTTGGCAGGAAACTGAGAAGGAACTGCAAAAAGGTTGGATTTTTGCTGACACAAAAAGTTGCATAGAGCTGTGCGCTCTGGCCCGCAGATTTGGAATCAGACAGCTTGACAAAGTGCGTGTCATAGACGATGCCAGCATCTGTGGCATCAACGCGACCGTTGGCTTGAAGTATGGTTTCCAAATGCACTCCATTGATAGATATGCTGCGTGGATTTCCAAGGCGCTACGCATCAATGAGGGCAGGCTGCCTGCCTGCAAAGGTCGTGTATACGACCTTAAGAGTGCATACAAACAGTTTGGAATCCATCCTACAGACCGGGAGCTTTTCAGATTTGCAGTTAACAAACCAGGCGAGGCGGAGCCCATGATTATGGGAGCAAACTCCTTACCGTTCGGTGCGGCGGGAAGTGTTGCGGCTTTCCTCCGTATCTCGTTGAGCATCTGGCTGATAGGCGTGAGGCTGGTCAGTATCTTCTGGACCGCATTTTTCGATGACTATGGAGTCACGACTCGCGATGAGCTTGTTGCCAACAGCCAACACAGACTCCTGCATATGTGCCATTTTTGATCTTCTTGGAGTTGAATTTGCTCGGGACGGTAAAAAAGCACCACCGTTCTCTCGAGACTTTAAACTGCTTGGAGTCAAAGTGGATTTGAATGATGCACCTCGGGGGATTGTGAGAATCGGGAACACTGCCGAGCGCCGCGAAGAACTGAACGTGTTCATCGAAGGCATCTTGCAAGCCAATTGTCTCGACCTTAAGACCGCTGAAAGGCTCCGAGGCAGGTTGGTGTTTTTCGAGGGGTTTGTTTTCGGGCGAATGTCGAATTCGGCCATCAGAACTGTGGATCGTGCAGCCAGGGCGGGACTCACTACGAAGAGTCTGCCCGAGGATGTCAGAAAGAGCCTCGTTGTCATTCGCGAGAGGCTGAGGGTGGCTGAACTTGTGACCATCGCTACAAAGAACCATCAGTCTTGGCTTATCTTCACAGATGGAGCCTGCGAAGGCGAGAAGAAGCTAGGGTCTGATCGTGGGCTTGAGTGGCCATCCGATATCCTTCTTCAGTGAGCAAGTCCCAGGATATCATGAAGATCTTGTTGAGTAACTCGCAAAATCCCATTTTCGAACTTGAACTTCTGCCGGTCCTAATTGCGTATAGGCTCTGGGGCCAGTGGTGCAGATTTTCTCAAGCCGTTTTTTACTTGGATAATGAAGGTGCTCGCCATTCGATAATAGCCGCGGGAGGAGGCGCCGATCTCGCTCGTGTGATTATCGATGGCATCCTCTCGAAGGAGACTTCCCTTCAAATCCACGCATGGTACGCCCGTGTACCTACGCATAGCAACATTGCAGACTCCCCGAGCAGAGGTGAGTACGAAGGTCTCTTGAGTATTGGATGCTCAAGGCTTCGCGTCGACTGGGATGCGGTGGCACGGCAGTGTTTTCCATTGGGGTGACTCAGACTGCCAGCACCTTGCCCCAGCTGCGAAAAGATGAGTCCGATTGCAGAGAGTCTTCATGTTTACTTTATATATTGGAAATAGTGGATTGTTGAATTCATACTTTTTGATATTCAACTTTCACATATTCCTTTGAAGTTTTCACGGTGCTTCGGAAATAAGGTCGAACTCCTCTAACAAGGATGAAAGCTTTATTTCCAAAAGCAAATTTCGTTTGAAGCGAAATTAGTGAAAACTTTTACTTTTGAAATTTTTCCTGCTGTTCGACACGACTCCTTTTTTGAGTGCATGACGAACATGGCCTGAGGTGTTGTACGATGTCTTTGTTGCCGTGCATGCATCCTCAAGCTTTGCGAGCAGGAAAATTTTGTCCCGCCCTCCCTCGCTTGGGCAAGTGCCCACCAGGTGTCTGGGGAGAAGTGGGCCTATCCCTGAGCCTATGACTCAGACTGCCAGCACCTTGCCCCAGCTGCGAAAAGATGAGTCCGATTGCAGAGAGTCTTCATGTTTACTTTATATATTGGAAATAGTGGATTGTTGAATTCATACTTTTTGATATTCAACTTTCACATATTCCTTTGAAGTTTTCACGGTGCTTCGGAAATAATCCCTCACGATTACGGCCTCCACTCTCACGAGCTTTGGAGCCTATGTGTTGAGGTTGGTCGCGTTCTCTTCGCGAGGTGCGGCGACCAACTGGTTCTCCCACATTGACAGACAGTTTCCCATAGAAGGGTCGGTAGTGGTGTTTGAGTTGGGTGACAAGCCCCACAGCCTGGTGGGAATTTTCACTGCTCTCCACATATCCAGCCGGGGAGTGAGCCCAAGTACGCGAAGCACCTACGCAAGCTCAACCCGCAGTATGTGGAGCTGTTGGTGCAACAATGGCCGACCTTTCTGGGGCCCCCGCCAACGATGCATTTCTCCCCATCAGTCACCCTGCCGTACCACCGGCTCACTTGTCTGAAGTCGGGAGGGGGCCTTGACCTTTTCAAGCGCGCCCGGGCTCTCCCAACCTCCCGAGTTCCCCTGACTCTGGGCGTGCCGGCTCCTAATGCTGCTAAGCCCATCACACATGTCGGCGCCTCGTTCTCCGTCGAGTTGCATATGGTGCTACTGCTCCTCCAGGCGTGCCGTGTTTCTGCCTGGGAAGGCCTATTCGATCAAACGCGTGCTGCCAGCGTTGACTGGCAAACCCACCGACATGAGCTCCAGGTCGCCCGAGAAACGCTATTGCCCTCACGGTCGCATCGCCGCATTAGCCAAACGTGGGAAGTGCCGCGCGAAGATGTGGCCCCGCTGTATCTCGAAGCGGCTAACTTACGAGGCCGCTCGTTCTGTGAGCTAATCAATAATTTGCTGGACGACCCGGATGGCTTGCTCATAGCGCACATCCATGCTATCCTCGTAGCACGGGGCACAAACCGCACCTCGCTCAACATCCTAGGGTGCCCGGGATCTTCCAAAACGTTTTCACTCTTGCTCGCCATCATGTGCATCGATGCAGTCCTTGACTTTCCTGTGGTCTGGACGTCGCAGCAGCATGCTGCTCTGATCGCGGTTCTCATGATCTCGCACAATGTCCTAGCGGATGCCCCGCTGTGGCTACGGCGCAGGATGGTCGTACGCCGTGTATCGGGCAAGCAGGAACTCTCCTCGACCGTGCATGACCACGTCCCGCTAGCCCATGGGGCAGGCCAAAAGGGGCCGACGCCAGGCGGGTTGCTGGAGTCGTTCCTCGAAGCCAGAGGAGTGCCGATGGAAGAGGACCCTCCGGGAGCTCAACAGCTGGGGCGATATAGTTCGGAGGTTCATACCGCCCTAGTCCGCTGCCGGGCCCTCATCATTGACGAAGGGCAGCAGGAAGGACATGCCGAGTCCGTTAACGTCACGGAGGCAGCAGAAGAGGTTCTTCTTATCCGAACCGGAGACCCTAAACAGCCCACAGGGGGGGCAATGCCATCCAAATTGAGACGATTGATCGACTGCTACTTAAACAAGTCGGGGTCCGGGGGGTTGCACATGCAGGGCTGCCGCTGGTACAGCCCCTCACCGTTGCCAAGGCGACTAGCAGGCTCGTTCATTCCACCCAGCTCGGCCCGTTACGGGTCAGCGCCGTCTCATGCATATGGGATGCCGTTCAGGGTGATGTACAGAACGACTCCCAGGACAGTTCTGCTGAGATAGAACTGCGCCCGGAATGGGCACGCTGGCTCTTTCTTACACCCACGCCACCGGTACGGGGCTGCCTCTTGAGGGACGCCCCGGAGGCAGGCGGCTGTGATGTGCAACTAGGCGACCGGTGCTGTTGGATCCCATACGCCGCCTTGCTACGAGTGCGCGGCCGGCCGTGCTTCTCGTGGCAAGGCCTCACGGAGGGCGATATCGCAGCGGCCATCGCGCCCGCAGAGCACCTAGGGCCTAGCGGCACCCTCACCTATATGGCCAACTTAGCTGCCATGGGGGCCCGGCTCAAAATGGCCAAAAACACGTACCAGGCCGAGGGTCTTGAGGCGATCAATGGCGTGGCCTTCAATCTGGGCCTCGTCAGCTCTGCTCGCTTGCTCACGGAAGTGTATCTCTTCATCACATCGGTGCGATATCCGCAAGCGGTGCAGTGGACGCTTGCGCCGGGTTCACGTCCCGGCCAGCCGTGCATTGGCAGAATGGCTGCCCCTACTAACACACGCGATGCCGCGTGTCTTGACCCTCAGGGACAGTGGCAGCCGGGCCTGCGTTTTTTGGAAATTCCTGAGTCCGAAGAACACCATAGACAATGGCCCCAGGATGACCTCCGTGACCTACTCCTGGCGGTTCTGACGCACCTATACATCACCCAGGGACACCGCGTAAGAGCCGTAGGGGGTCAGCGTCTAGTCCTAGTCAACCCGTCTAATCGCCTGCTCCACAATTTTCAAACATTTGTGGGTCTGAGCAATGCTGGACTGACGGACGAGAATGACGAGCTCCATTCTAGCGACCGCATACAGGGCAAACTGCTCGAGGACTGGGTCAGTGAACAGGACCCACACATGCCGAGGCCGGCCGGCATTACCAATGCCCAGCAAGCCGGCATAGTCCTGCGCTTTTTCGGGCGTCACCATGCTGAGCTGGGGCCTTTCATCGACCTATATTCCGCGACGGCGTGTGCGGGGTCTACCGGCTCGGTTCATCTTTGCATTGTGGACCGCACGGGAGATTTCACGGAGAGTGGTGAAGCTGCCCACCAAAGACTCACCGCTGCCCTCACACGGGGTACGGGACCGCTTTTAGTTGTCTCACCGGCGCATACGTCCGGACTCTTGGCGGGAGCACGCATGCATGCGCGACTGCAGGGATCCCTGATGCAGTGGACGCCCTTTCGTACGAGCAGCGGCCTCCCCCCGCCTTGGGCACGTTCTGCTCGGGACGATCCCGCAATTGCATGTGCCTTCCAATCCCAATGGCACCTATGCTCCATTCCACCGATTGTCGAAGCCACGGCCATTCTGGTTGTTGTCTTTGACAAACTGCACGGAGGGCACAGAGCTCAGCTCCACCTACGTGGACCAGAACAGGTCCTGGCAGGACGACGGGGTCAAACTCTGGAGTCTACGTACTTCTATCCGCTCTTCGACACCGTCCAACCCTACGCTGTCACATTGGACACGGATGATGAGGGCCAGCGACTACAGTTGTGCGGCCTCAAGCGCTGGCAAGGGCAGGCAGCCAGGCCGCCGAAGAAGCTCTACTCGGCTTTCGCCGACATCCATGCACGCAGCGCCCTAGGGCGTATGACGGTCTCACCTGAATCCACCGAACAAACAGTGGATTCCCATGACACCATGTGGGCAGTCGCCTCCCTTCCTGGCAGCCTTTACCTTGCACACATTGCCGCGGATCACACCACCCAGGACTTTATAGCTTACCTCCGCCATAGGCTTAAGGTACTGGTTGGCCCAGAGTACGACGCGGCGGCTATCCGGTTCGGCGATGCGGGTACTTTGTCTTGTGGCCTGGCCTCGGCCGGATACGACAAGAAAGGACATGCGGTCCTACATAAAACGCTCAGCGCAGGAGCGGGTGTCCGAGAGGACCCGCATTTTGCGGACGAACTCTATAGTGCTGGCTGTAACCGTGTCTTTCAAACAACGGACTGGAGACAGGACCTGGATGCCTTACTCCAGGCAGTGGACGACCACCCCACACGCCATCGGCCTGACCTTACCGAGCTTACAGGCAATGTAGCAGCTACAGATGATCCGGCGACACAAACGGTCCAACGAGCCATCTTGAGCGAATGGCGCACGCGAGCAGGCGCCCCTCCCCCGCCGAAAACAGCGTCGGCGGCCGATCAACTCGAACATCTTCGCTCTGCTTTACCGTCTTTGACCGACTGCGATACGCTGCTATCACTCCCGATGTCCCTCACAGCAGGGTCATTGCGCCTCAGTGTGCATCAATTTGGCTTCGGAATCAGCAGCTTCGCGGATCGAGCTATGCGGCTTCGATGCTGTTCGGAACCAGAGGCATGGCGACTTTGCGTTACTCCACTCCTGGCCGTCTGTGCGGTGCTTGCTGAGCTGTGCGAGCCTTTGCAACACCTTGCTGAGGACAGAGCGTATGACTTAAGTTGGCGAGAGCTGGCGCGGCCACAGGTTTGGTGGTGGCTTTTGATCGATGAGATCACATCGCAGTGGCAACATGCTGGACAGGCCGCTGTGGATACTCCCTTGGCAAGAGACGGTAGCTTTATAGTTATGGCCTTGGGAGGCCCAGCCCGCAAAACCTCGCCACTCCAGTATTGTCATGCGTTGCTCCCTGTCCAGGTGCTGCTATTTGTGGCACGCCGAGTTGTGGACCGCCCCCAGGATTACCCTCATCTTGAGGTTCTCGGCGCATTCCGAGACAACGATGAGCAGGCAGAGGGCGAGGGACGCACTGGACAGTTTGGCATCCGCATCAATGCCACCTTCACAGCCGAGGAAATCTGCCCTTTGCAAGCACGCGTAGGCGCTCGGTTAAGACATAGCTGGGAGAGTGGCGTTGTTGCCGTGCATCACCCGTGCGTCAACCCGGACGTTCTGAAGCACCCGGCTGCTTATAGGGGACGCTTTCGGTTGTACCTCCCCTTGTCTGAGGAGGCATTGGGCCTCAAGCCGGCCACAGCCTTGAGCTTGCAGCCGGCCGGTCTTCTGTCTAGTGCACTGTCCCGAGTCCGACAATGGACGCGACAGGAAGGATATGACCTGCGAAAAGTCCTTGCTGTCTGGCTCCCCGGCCCAAAAAAGATCACCCTGTACTACCCGGAGCGTTTTTATCTGCTGGGTACGCACACTATCCACGGTCGGCATGCTGAGCTGATCAGACGAAACTTTTTGGATATCCATGGGCGGTCAGCCCAATTACCCGCCACATACGCTGGGGCAACACATGAGTATCGAGGAATGGGTCGCGGCGGCTAGACAGTTCGCAGCCATGGGTGGACTCGCTCAGGGCCTTGACTACGAGTTCTTGAGTTTTCGTTTGGTCCCCACCTATCACTCGCCCTCACCTACTTATTACTATGAACGACCTTTTCTTCAAAAGCGACATGACGACAGAGACTGGAATTTTCTACACCTGCTCAATGACAATCACATGGAAGACCCAGAACACTTCCGCAAGATCCTGTGGGAACTGGCGGAGCGCTACTGGCGACGACGCAACCCGACTGTTCGGCTCGCATTGTGAGCTGGGCCCTGGGCTCTGCATACCGCTAGCCGCTTGTGGATCCAACAACTCGCACTGGCCATTCGGCTTTGGGCGGGAGCTTCCTTAGTCGGACTCCGTAACCCGCCATGGACGCACTCCTAGAGCAGTTCCACATGCGGATTTTTCCCTTGGCGGCCGTATACAGGCAATACCTGTACTCTTCGGGGCATTACCTTCGGAGGCCACGCGTAGAGTCCTCCGTTCCATCAGCGCTCACGAGCGCAAAACTTCAATGCAGGACCTACGCCAACTCCATGCAACATATCATGCAAGGGTTGTGGCTTACCTCTCCTCGCTCCGTCTATACAGCTTTTCGGCGCCATTGGAATTCCGCACGGCAGTACGCCTGGGCGTCCAAATACGGGTGATGCTTGTCCAGTTGGACTTGGAAGCAGTTACTGTCATTGCAGCGGTCTCCCGTGTGACATATGAGGCCGTTTGTTGTCTGTTCGGAGAGACGGACTTCGTGCGCGCGGAGGATCTTCAGGCGGCGCTCATTGAGCTTCAGCCGTGGTCGTTTGCCTGCCCGGCTCTGTGGGGAATTCCATTTTTCTCAATGGAACAAGCATGCACACTGCCAGTTCGGCGTCTCCGGCCGCCTCTGCCGGTGTGCCCGAGTTCCTCGGATGCCACCCCGTCGATATGCCATCCAAGTTCGCACGGCACCCGGCGATTGTACAGCTGAGCACAGCCTTTACCCCATTCTTGACCACCAGGTCTTGCACGTGGGGGATTTTATATGAAAGTGATCATGCCACCTGCGCCAACCCTCGGAACTGTGCGGGGGCCAGACAAGAGAACGCTCTGGCCCACGTGCCGACCTGCTCTGATGTCACTAAACCGTGCCTGGTGGTGTACGGCCGTGAATAGTACTGGGCCCGTCTTTACATCATGGATGGAGGTCTATAGATGGCGGTTTTTTAGTTTTGCCTGCTTTTGCGGCCCTTGCGAGACCCCTGGTGGGAAGCTGGGCACAGGATTAGCATGGCAATTGCCACAGACTCTTACTATTATGAACGCCACCGTGGGAAGCTGTGACCACTTGGTAGGGACCGTACTGCCTGCGATCTCACACTCAAAATCGAGGGGGAGGCCAGCTACTGGTGGCACCCTGGCTATTCTGCCTTAACGGCATCGCTAGTCACTAGTCACCACACCGTTCATGGAAGTGCTCGGAGGGGCAAGCTGAAATGCGCCTGTTATATCTCCGCATGGACGAAGGACCATGTGTGGCGGACCTTCGCTTGTGCAATGGCCCTTGCGAGACCCCTAATGGGAAGCTGGGCCCACACCGTTCATGGAAGTGCTCGGAGGTGCAAGCGGAAATGCGCCTGTTATATCTTCGCATGGACGAAGGACTATGTGTGGCGGACCTTCGCTTGTGCAATGGCCCTTGCGAGACCCCTAGTGGGAAGCTGGGCCCAGGTTAGCATGGCATTCGCCCGCTGAGTGGATCAGCGATTACCGCCTTCATACTTGTTCAATACACCATGTGGGCCCCTCTTGGGCCTCGCACCTGATTGGGAAGGTCTGGCTCTAAGAGTCACGCATAGTCAAGGCGAAGATGCTCGACCAATGCGCGACTAACGCCAGGGATTGCCCTTGCGAGACCCACATTGGGAAGCTGGGCCTCACACATCATATTGCCCCGAGCGCGAGCAGTCCTTTCTGTCTGCGCAGCGGGACAGAACAGTTTTGTCTTTCTTCTTGCCGTATGCGGCCACTGGCTGCGCACCACATGAGTGATAGAGGCGCCCGTGTGCCATACTGCGCCGATCAATGGTACAGCAGGACCCTTGCGATACCTTGGGAGGCTGGGACTGAGTCTTTCGTACCGCCTTCCTGCTAGACTGCGGCGGCCAGCTCTCAGTTGCGCGCTGATGCTGTCGAAGCTTTGGCATCGTCACTATGTGGTGTTCATCTTCTTCTGAGGGCATGGCTATGAGGTCGAACGTTCACTGCCGGCTAAGTCTGCACTTCGCGACCTGTCTCACCGCTTTGTAGTGTTTGTACAGTCTTGTTTGCGCTTTTTAGCTTCTTACCGGGACCGAGTGCTACACGCGTAGTCGTTGAGGCCCATCCACGCCAAAAAAAATACTGATTTGTATTGGGAATGAGGAATGTATATATTTGGATTTTATATACACATTGATGATTGACATCTCGATTCCGAATAAAACATATTTGGATTTCGAGTTTCTTGCGTGGAGGATAGTTCCGGTCCCGGAGGGACGATGCTCTTATTTCCGTGTGTTGATGAATTTACTTTGAAAATTCAAGCGTGGTTTTCATGGCAACTTTTCATGCTTCAGCTTTTCAACACATGTCATTCGCTTTGCGTTTGGACAGTGGAATCCCTTGACCATCCGATGCCTCTGCTCGAGATGGGGAGGGATGTGGAGGTAGAAACTTTCTCTGGCCCATGAAATTTTGGGTCGGGGGGGTTTGTAGGTGGGTCTCCTCTCGAGCCTAGCATTATGGCAGGCCTTGAACCTCATTCGCTTGAAGAGGAGTATCAGCCTTCCGAGTTTGCTCTGAGTGAGCCCATCGACCGAGAGCCCGAGGACTCTTGGGATGTGTGCAGTGTCCCGTCAGGAGTTTCTGTCACAAGC